GAGATGGATTGATACGTTGGCTGCGATGATGGGCTCAAGTATAGCAGGGATTACGGGGCTGGCACGGGATCGGGCAGTGTTTTGTTGTGCTGTGCATGGGGTCGCTATGAGTCGGAAACGACTCGACGGCCCTTAACAACAACAACAACAATTTTATACGTAGACCTATTTTTTTAAGTACAGCCTTATTGCTTATACTGATTTCATCTCTGTTTATTTGAGCATTCTTCGTAGGATTTATTTATTTATTGTAGCCTATCTTCTACATGAACATATTTTCTAAGTTCCAACTCACATTATTTGGAAGAATTATGGTAGCTAATAAGTGCAACTATTATCACATATTCTTGTGTTCCTATGTTAGGGAACAAGGACTGAAGGGAGGGAAAGGGAAAGGTTATATAAGTGTTGGTTATAAATAGAAGATCTGTTTGAAGTTCATATAGCAATGGTATAATTCTGCTTCACTGAGGATTTGACAGGGAATCAGTGATTGGTTGGACTCAACTTTTTCACGTTAACAGATGTATTAGAAAAAGTGAATGTGGCTTAAAAGAATTGTGTGTAAGTTGAAGTAAGAAAATGAATTTATTGTCCAAAGGTACTACTCTTCCTTCTTTGAGAGATGCTACTAATGTTTATGAGCCGTAGAACCTTTTGGTAATAATTTGTTTTATACAGATTCGTTACAGAGCTCTCTTTTGGAGTACAACTCTCTCTCTCTCTCTCTTTTTTTTTTTTTTAAACAAATCCCATTTGTAAGTTTTAATTTTAATATATTTTCCCTAAAGTGAAATCTGGTAACAGTGATTGTCAATGTAATGCTTTTTTTTCTTAATTCTTGATTTCATATTGTTTAAATTATGAATATTTCTTGGACTTAATGTATACTTGATATAATAAACTTTGTGTAGGGAGTCAGTAACTATACATTTAGATGACTGGCTATAAGTTTATATTGTGATATTTAGTATCTTTATGAGTGGGCACAAATATCAGCAAGACTTTTTTTTTTCCCCCCCCGCAGCAAGACGTGAGTGAGTTTACACATAAATTATTAGATTGGTTAGAAGATGCCTTTCAAATGAAAGCTGAAGAAGAAACGTAAGTTAACCTGAGGTTTAGTGATAAGATTTTGAAAGATTATTTTATTCTTTTTATGTATTCATACCAACTGAGAAATGGAATTGAGACAGACATGTGGGAATCTAAATGTTATCTGTGTTATTGACAAACTATTTGTAATTTGGGGCCACAAATCCTGGATAGCTCCACTTTTTAAGATAAGATAGGAATCTATCCAAACAGATCTAAAAATAATAAGCCTTAGAAAGGTTAATCCATACACACACACTTCTTTTCCGTGGATTGAACAATCACTTTTCATGAGGAAGAGTGGACTAGTGATAGAGAAGGAGGCTAGGAATGTTAATTCTGTTGAAGTTTTTTTTCACATGAGTGGTGGTTATATTTGTGTGTCATCTTGGCTGGGCCTGGTTGAGTAGGTGGGCAACTGGTGGTAGTTATTCCCCATGATGAAACTGGCAATCAACTCCATGGTGGGATCTACCACAAGCAGCTGAGTAGCTGCTTTGGGTATGTGGTCTGCTTCCCGTATATAAGAAGCAGCTTTGGGAATGGTCTCTAGCTTATGGCACGCTTGGACCCTGCATGTAGCCATGTCGTTGTTCAGCAGCCTGCCATACTCTGCTGACCTTGGGACTTATAATGGACTTAAATTAATGGCCTACTGTCTGTGCCTTTTTATTTGTCAATCTTGGGTTTGTCAGCCTCAGCAGCTAGCAGCTGTCTGAGTGAAGAAAAGGCTCTGGCTTCAGTGGGCTGGGAGCTGGAGGCAGAGCTGAAGCCCAAGGCTGAGGGCTATTCACCCAGCTCCTAGAGCTTGGCACTTTGAACTTGGATTTAAAGCCTCCAAATTATAAGAATAAACTCCTGTTTGTTAAGGCCATCCCATTTGTGGCATATTCTTGTCAGAGAGGCACTAGGTAACCAGAGCAACATGGAAATGTGAAAAGAGAAATAAGAAGTTTCTTTTCAGTACTCCCTAGCTTTTTATTGTCTACCATTTTGGTTTAACTATGAAGACTGGTTATTTGAAAAGTGTGGGTGGCCTCAGTAGAGGAGAAAATTAGCACACTTTCAAGGTGATTTTGTCCCACTCTCATGAGGCCAGTCTTGTAATATGAACTCTTTGTTCCAGAGTGTGACTTTTCTAAACACTGGTGGACCATTTAGGCCATGCTACTACAATAATTAATAACCTATGTATGCAGATGACACAGCCTTGCTTGCTGAAAGTGAAGATGACTTGAAGCACTTACTGATGAAGATTAAAGACTACAGTCTGCAGTATGGATTACACCTCAACATAAAAGAAAATGAAAATCCTCACAACTGGACCAATAAGCAGCATCAAGATAAATGGAGAGAAGATTGAAGTGGTCAGAAATTTCATTTTACTTAGATCCACAATCAACAACCATGGAAGCAATAGCCAAGAAATCAGATGTCATATTGCACTGGGTAAATCTATTGCAAAAGACTTCTTTAAAGTACTGAAGAGCAAAGGTGTCACTTTGAAGACTAAAGTATGCCTAACCCAAGCCATGGTATTTTCAGTCACCTCATATACATGTGAAAGCTGGACATTGAATAAGAAGACTGAAGAATAGTTGATGCTTTTGAATTGTGGTGTTTATGAAGAATACTGAAAGTACCACAGACTGCCAGAAGAGTGAAGAAATCTATCCTGGAAGAAGTGCAGCTGGTCTGCTCCTTGGAAACAAGAATGGCCAGACTGTCTCACATACTCTGGTGATGTTGTCAGACAGGACCATTCCCTGGAGAAGGATATCATGCTTGGTAAAGTGGAGAGTCAGCAAAAATGGGGAAGGCCCTCTACAAGATGGAATTGACACAGTGGGTGCAACAGTGGGCTCTAGTGTAGCGAGGATTGTGAGGATGGCACACAACCAGGCAGTGTTTCATTCTTTTGTACATGGGGTCACTATAAGACGCAACCAACTAAACAACACCTAACAACAACAGCATTACTTTGACATGAATCTACAAGGTGCAGTAGTTCTATTAATGCCTAGAATACAGCATATCTGAAAGTTTTTTCCCTTCTCTATTTCCTATTTAAATTATTCCCAGCTTCATTATCCAGTAAAGATTATTATTACGTGGTCTACAATAAGATTAAATTAAGGCTGTTGTAATAATAAATACAGTGTTAACAGCAAACTTTAACATAGCCCCCTGTTCATTACCAAATTTCCAAGGCACAGTTAAGTTTCCAGATTACATTCCCTTGATCTTCTGAAGTAAAGTTTAAATAAATTAAGGTCAAAAATAAAATTCTCTTGCAGTCTAACAAAAATAAGAGTCATTTCCAAGATTCTTAGATTGCTCAGTCTCAGCTACATGTATGTATGTCATTGCTGTGCCTGAATAGATTAGGGGTTCTACAACTGCAACCCACACTTCTTCCATTGTATAGGTATAGCTCCTGTAGTACTTCAGATGTTGAATTTCATGCACTTTAGAGTTCAGAGGGTATTAGGACACATAAGATTAATATTATCCCCTTATTATTGAAATACAGAGACGAAAGCAAAACTTCAAACCATTTAGCTGTTTGTTGAAAGACAGTATTATTTCCAGAACTTAGTACTTAGTGCAATCCCAACATTAGTTGCTTTTGCTGAAAACTGTAGCAGAATCTCTGGGAAATATTTTTGAGAAAGTTTTCTTGGTTTTAGTTCTGCCAGGATGCCAATCATGACGGACCAATTGGTTGCAGACTTTAAAATCAGTTGGGAGAAATCTCTCAAGAGATTAATTATAACACTAAGTCTACAATATCTGTGGGGAAAAAGAAAATCAAATTTTTGCAAACTCTCTTCTGTCATAGGATGACATTTGATAGCTGTTTCTTTCTTGGCAGTGAGTGGGAAAGTGCTTCTCACCGTATACCTAAAAGTTGAGGGTCGAACAGAAACACTTCTGAATAGCACTGAAAACCCACAGAATTATTGTAAGGATTAAATGAAGTACTGGCCATCAGTTGTTCTAAGTATTGAATGATGAAGCATATGTATTACCCTTATCAAGGAATAGAGCAGGCCTTCACTGGTGATGCTTTTATTTATGGATGGTGTGTACTCTTGTATGTAAAAACTGGAAATTAAATATTAAAACTTTATAGAAACATATTCTTATTGACAGTGGCTTCTCCTCCTTCTCAACAAGTTCAAATAACTACATGTATTATACACTAAAAATAGGAGATTTAAATTTATAACAGTAAAATAAGCACTTAGTGAATAAATATTATCAGGTACTCTTTGAAGTGTGTTCTGTATATTAACTCATTTTAACCCTTAAACAACATTCATGTAAGTTAAATTACTATTATTATCCTCAGTTGACAGTGAAAGAAAATAACTTACCCAAGGTGACACTGTAAATAGTAGAGCCCGAGTGTATGATAACCACAAAAACATTATCATTATATATTAGTTATTTTAGTATTTATTATTTATAAATCCAAAAATTATAACCATATCTATATTTTTTAACATGCTTTAGGGATGAAGAGAAGCCAAAGAACCCAATGGTAGAGTTATTCTATGGACGATTCCTGGCTGTGGGAGTGCTTGAAGGTATAGTTGCACATGTTTACTTTTTATTACAAGTGAAAGGATTTTCTTACTAGCTCCTTTGTCTTGATAGTGACTCAGTAATGAGCAGTGAAATTTTTTTATTTTAATTTGATTTGCTCTGGTTCGTAGTTCCCATTACATTGCTGCTACTACTGATTTACATAGAGAACATAGAATTGAGTGACTGAAAGGAAAAGTACGGAGTACATGATCACATGGTAATTGATATTTAGTTAATCTTATCCTGATGTTCTTGCCAGTGAGAAGTCATCTGTTTTATAGTGAGAGTGAGAAGTTGAAATACAGGGATTAATGGGACAATGAGAGAATCCTTTGAAAAGAATATTGGAGTTAACAGCTGGGCTTAGTATGGTGGTCACTGTTTTGAAGAGTTTCAAGTTGTATGCATACTAAGCACCTATGTAAAGCTGAACCTAGCATCTTAGCAGAGTCAGCGTACCGCAGGGTCCCCATTTTTGAAGTGATTATAAAATTGTTTAGACACCAGTTTTCACTCTGTGTTTTGAAAAATTGGTTAAGAATGCTATTACTTTAGCAACCTGAATACCTATTACTTGTAATCCAGACCAACTCAGTTTCTCTGGTTTTCTTGGAAAGGGAAGGGAACTAGATTCAGTAAATGTAGTGCTTATAATAATAGTATTAAGTCCCAAAGCATAAATTTTTATAAAAATATTTTTCCCAAATTTTTCAATGCATCAACTTTTTAAAATTTTCATTTCCAAATCCCCTGAAGTATAAAATTTGGAGGCCTGGAGGCTGCTTTTGGCTTGGATGTGGCTCTGTATTAATTTCAGGGCCTGAGGTACACAGGCCTGAGGCTTGGAGGTTGCTTTTCACTTGGGGCAAGCAGCTCTTTATTAAAGGCCAGGGCCTAAGGTAGGTGGGCCCGGGGATAGGTGGCTGCTTTTTACTTGGGGGTGGCTCTGTATTAAGGCCAGGCCCTGAGATAGGCAGGCCCAAGACTTGGAGGCTGCTTTTGGCTTTGGTGTGGCTCCATATTAAGGCCGGGGCCTGAGGCAGGCAGGCCCAAGGCTTGGAGGCTGCTTTTGGCTTTGGTGTGGCTCCATATTAAGGCCGGGGCCTGAGGCAGGCAGGCCCAAGGCTTGGAGGCTGCTTTTGGCTTTGGTGTGGCTCCATATTAAGGCCAGGGCCTGAGGTAGGCAGGCCCGAGGCTTAGAGGCTGCTTTTCACTTGAGGATTGCTCTATATTAGGGCCAGGGCCTGCAGTAGGTGGGCTGGGGATTGGGGGCTGCTTTTTACTTGTGAGTGGCTCTATTCCAAGGCCAGTGCCCAAGGTAGGCAGGTGCAGAGGGGTTAGGAACAACTAAGGGAGATGAACTTGTCTATCATTTTGTTGTCCTGTCGTGGGTTATGTGCTGCTATGGGGCTGGAGGCTTTATCACTGTGTTGCACAATGCCAGCAGGGTTGCACATGGTGGAGAGGTTTCAGTGGAGCTTCTGACTTTAGACAGGGTTAGAAGAAGGAATAGATCATCCACTTCTCAAAGATTTGGCCAGTGAAAAACCTTATGAATAGCTGTTCAACACTGTCTGATGTATTAAGGGAAAACTTATGAACAGCCCTGAAACATTGTCCGACATAGTGCCAGAAATGAGCCCATCAGGTCGTAAGGCACTCAAAATTTGATTGGGGAAGAGCTGACTCCTCAGAGTAGAGATAACCTTAATGATATGGATAGAGTAAAGCTTTTGGGACCTCCATTGGCTGATGTGGCATGACTCAAAATTAGCAGAAATAGATGCAAATATCCACTAATAAGGAGAACATGGAATGTATAAAGTATGAATTTAGGAAAATTGCAAGTTGTCAGAAATGAAATGGAATGCACAAAGATCTGTTATCATAGACATTAGTGAGCTGAAATGGACTGGTTTTGGCCATTTTGAATCAGACAACCATGTGATCCACTGTGTTGGGAATGTATGAAGAGGAATGTAGTGGCATTCATCATCACAAAGGATGTTTCAAGATCTGTCCTGGAGTATAATGCTGTCAGTTATAGGATAATATCCATATGCCTACAAGGAAGACAAGTTACTACTACTAATTCAAATTTACACACCACCCACCAAAGCCAAAGATGAGGAAATTGAAGATTTATACAAACTTTTACAGTCTGAAATTGACTGAAAATGCAATCAAGATGTGTAATTATCACTGGTAACTGGAATGGAAAAGTTAGAAGCAAAGAGGAGTTACTGGTAGTTGGAAAATATGACCTTGGTGATAGAAATAACACTGGAGATTGCATGATAGAATTTTGCAAGACCACCAACTTACTCATTGCAAATACCTTTTCTCAACAACATACGCAACGACTGTACACGTGGACTTCACCAGATGGAACACACAGGAATCAGATTGACTACAGTTGTGTCAAGAGGTGATGGAGAAGTTCAGTATCTTTGGCCAAAACAAGGCCAGGAACTGACCACCAACTGCTCATATGCACGTTCAAGTTGAAGTTGAAAAGAATTAAAACAAGTCCACAGGAGCCAAAATATGACTTTGATAATATCCCTCCTGAATTTAGAGACTATTTAAAGAATAGATTTGAAGCATTGAACACCAGTGACCGAAAACCGGATAGATTGTGGGATGACATCAAGAACACCATCCATGAAGAAAGCAAGAGGGCTTTAAAAAGATGAAAAAGGAAGAAAAGACCAAAGTGGATGCCAGAAGAGACTCTGAAACTTGCCCTTGAGCAGAGAGTAGCTAAAGCAAATGGAAGAAATGCCCAGATAAAAGAGCTGAATAGAAGATTTCAAAGAGCAGCTCAAGAAGACAAAGCTAGTTACTATAATGAAATGTGCAAAGACTTGGAATTAGAAAACTGAAAGAGAAGAACATGCTTGGCATTTCTCAAGCTGAAAGAACTAAGGAAAAAATTTAAGCCTTGAGTTGCAATATTGAAAGATTCTATGGGCAAAATATTGAATAATGCAGGAAGCATCAAAAGATGGAGGGAATACATAGAGTCATTGTACCAAAAAGAATTGGTTGGCATTCATCCATTTCAGGAAGTAGCATATGATCAAGAACCAATGGTATTGAAGGAAGAAGAGAAAGCTGCACTGAAGGAATAGACGAAGAACAAGACTCCAGGAATTGATGGAATACCCATTGAGATGTTTCAACAAATGGATTACCTGCTGGAGGCACTCACTTAGTTATGCCAAGAGATTTGGAAGACAGTTACCTGACCAGCTGACTTTAAGAGGTCCATATTTGTACCTATCCCAAAGAAAGGTGATCCCACAGAATGTAGAAATTATCAAATATTATCATTAATATCACTCACATGCAAGTAAAATCTTACTGAAGATAATTAAAAAACAGATGCAGCAGTATATTGACAGCTTCCAGAAGTGCAAGCTGGATTCAGAAGAGGACGTGGAACAAGGGATATCATTGCTGATGTCAGGTGGGTGTTAGCTGAAAGCAAAGAATTCCGGAAAGATTACTTATGTTTTATTGACTATGGAAAAGCTTTTGATTGTGTGGATCATAACAAATCATGGATAACATTGAGAACAATGGGAATTCCAGAACACTTGATTGTACTCATGAGGAACCTGTACATAGATCAGGAGGCTGTGATTCGAACAGAACAAGGGGATACTGCATGGCTCAAGATCAAGAAGGGGGTGCGGCAAGGTTGTATTCTTTCACCATACTTACTCAGCTTGTGTGCAAATAATCCGAGAAGTTGTATTATATGAAGAAGAATGTGGCATCAGGATTGGAGGAAAACTCGTTAACAACCTGTGATATGCAGGTGACATAACTTTGTTTGCTGAAAGTGAGAATGACTTGAAGTACTTATTGATAAAGACTGAAGACTTCAGTTTGCAGTATGGATTACACCTCAATAAAGAAAAATCCTCACAACTGTTCCAATAAACAGCTTCACGGTGGATGGAGGAAAGATTGAAGTTGTCAAGGACTTCATATTACTTGGTTCTATAATCAACACCAGTGGAAGCAGCAGTCAAGACATCAGATGATGTATTGCATTGGGCAAATCTGCTGTAAAAGACCTCTTAGAAGTGCTGAAGAGCAAAGATGTTTCCTTGAAGACTAAGATGCACCTAACCCAAGCCATGTAATTTTCAGTCCCCTCTTACGTGTGTGAGAGCTGGACAATGAATAAGGAAGATTGAAGAGTTGATGCTTTTGAGTTGTGGTGTTGGAAAAGAATGGTAAGAGTACCATGGTCTAAAAGGACTAACAAATCTGTCCTGGCAGAAGTGCAGCCGGAATGCTCCTTGGAAGCGAGAATAGGCAGACTTTGTTTCACCTACTTTGGTCATGTTGTCAGAAGGAACATTCCCTTGAGAAGGATATCATGCTTGGTAAAGTGGAGGGTCCACGAAGAAGGGGAATGCCCTCAATGAGACAGATAGATACAGTGGCTGCAACAATGGGCTCAGGTATAGCAAGGATCATGAGGCTGGCACAAGACCAGGCATTATTTCATTCTGCTATGCATAGGGTCACTATGAGTCGGAGATGACTCAACAGTACCTAACAACAGCAACAACATAAAATTTGGAAAATTATTTTTCTTTCAGTGCCTAAGTAATGATAATATTCTAGTATGGGATTCAGTAAGAGGCAGACATTAACTCAAAATTCATTCAGTTGTTTAAAAGATTTTAAGGTATCAATACATTTTTGTTTGCCTCAAATGCTAAATACTCATTATTCAAGTGGAGTATTTTTCATAGTACATTGTATTCCAATTTGTGATGAATATCATTGTACTGATTTTAGTTGAAGTATATACTGCATCTGAATTAGAAGAGTAGCTCTAATCAGATTGTGACAAGGCACTGTTTATAATACCTTGCACAAGTATTTCTACTTGTATTATTACGATTCTTAAAAGTGGTTGTTATTCCCATGACCGTATATAAGGTTGGCAGATGATATTTATACATATGTACTTGTATGTGCCTTAAGACTATCCATATAAATTGAACTAATAGGAGACAAAGTTATGACAACTTAGCCACAGCCACCCACCCTGAGGGAGTGAGTTGTTGGCCTGTGGGCTTGGGACCATGTTTGCAGGAGACATGAAACTCAACTGGCATAACATACTACACAAAAACTTTGTTCACATTCCTACTTATTGGAGTAGCGACTAGGGTTTTAAAAGCTTGCAAATGACCATCTAGAGACATTAGCTGGTCTCTCCTCACCCAGAGCAAAGAAAAATGAAGAAAACCAAAGGCATATGGAAATAATTAGTTCAAGGGACTAGTGGCCATGTGGACCTCAGCCTGCATGACCATAAAATCAGAATTAGATGGTACCTGGCTACCACTGTCAACCATTAAGAAAGGGATCAGTGCACAAGATCTTGGATAGAGTGGGAGAAAAATGTGGAACAAAACTCAAAATTGTAAAAAAGACAAGGTTTGCTGGTATGATAGAAACTGATGAAACCCCCAAGACTTTGGCCCCTATTCACCCTTCAGGCCTGGAATTGAACTCACTCCTGTGGCTTCTAGCCAGACAGTAGATAGGCTTATTAGGTGAACATTTTTACCAAGTAGGTATACTCCTTAGAACAGTCAATCATGGGAGATCAGAAGGGCAGTATTTGCACAGGGAAGTAGCTCAGAGGGCAGGGATGCATACAAAAGAAGGACATGAGGATATGTTAACTATACGGATTAAGTGGGAAGAGAGTTCTTACATTATGGAGATTGCAATCAATGTTATAAAACAAAATGTGTATGAACTGCTGTGTGGAAAATGAATTTGGCCTAGAAAACTTTCACCCAGATCACAATTAAAGAAAGAGGAACTTAAGCATTTAGTCCAATCCAAAAGAAATAAAAAGAGTTTATATTGACTACTTCATTTGCTAATGAGTGTTAAAGTCTTTGTACTTGATACCAGTAAGTTGCTTCAAAGAAAGTATATTATACAAACGTGATTTTAATACATTACTACATGAACTCTGTGTTTATTTACACCTGTGCTCCTTACATAGGGCCTTTTTGCCCCTCCTGGGACATCTGGCAATGTCTGGAAACATTTTTGGTTGTCATAGCTAAGTGGATAGGGGGTAGTTGCTATTGTCACCTAGTGGGTGGAGGCCAGGGATGCTGCTAAACATTTTTACAATGCATGGACTATATACCACAGTGAAATACTACCTGGAGCAAAATGTCAGTGGGTTGGGATTGAGAAATCTTGTTTTAGACTACTGCTTCCCTGTCTTTAAAAAAAAGGAAAAAAATCCTACTTAGTTGATAATTCCCTCAGATTATACCATCATTTTTCATGAAATCATCAATTGACTCCTCCAGGCTTTGTCTCTGTTTTTTTGTTAAAGACACACACATATTTATCCTCTCCATTTTCACTCTTGGCATCAGCTTATTATTCCACTGCCCACAAAGATGATCTGCTATATACTCTTGCTTTTCATTTTCTTGATTTTGTCATTGCCATTGACTTTCCCTTCCATTCTGCCTCAGCTCCATAACTCTATGATCAGTTGTTTGGTAAAGTTCTAACTTCTTCACTTTTTCCAGAACTTCTTATTCCTTGACCCCTTGCTTTATTCCTGTTAGTTCTTACCTGTACTTCACTCCCTTTCTTGTTCATCATTGCTTTCACTTTTATAAATATCTGAAACTCTCTCCCCACGTGCTGTTATGGTACCTCTTGCTTACCTGTTCTCTGATCCTCATTAAACCATTCATGTTCTCTCTGCATGTACTGACTAAATGAATATTGTTGGAGAAAAGTCACACAAATGGCCTAATCATAATAGATCAGGAATGTGTAATTATGCTAAGCTCCACTGGTCCCAATCCTGTAACCCTATCTGGCAGTGATACTTATTTTGTTTTATCACTATCGTCACTTCCATTTTCTGCAATAACTATTTTATCTATTCCATTCATTTCAAATCTACCTTCTTAGTCTCTTTATTTTCTGAGAATGACATTAGCTCAAACTTCATGAATTTACCAGGATGCTAATGAAGTGTAACCATGGGTCCTATCCAAGGCCCTGAATCTAATTCTGTGTTTGTAATTTTACCTTATTTCTTAAAAAAAGACTTTTTCCCATATATGAGCTTCACACTCCACAATCTGAATCTACCCCTTCTCTACCATATAATACAGGAATTATCCTGTCTTATATCAGAAGGTAACATGAAAGTCACTACAGTGCAGCAGACTGACAGATGGAGCAAATATATTGCAGAAGACCTTTTTAAAGTGTTAAAATAAAAAGATGCCACTTTGAGGATTAAGATGTGCCTTAACAAACAAGTTTGTCATGAAAAAAGTATAGCCAGAATGCTCCTTAGAAGTGAAGATGGCAGGACATCATCTCACTTACTTTGGACATGTTATCAGAAGGGATCAATCCTAGGAGGAGGACAATCAGGGTCAGTGAAGGAGAGATCCCCAATGAGATGGATTCACAGTGTTGGGACAGTGGACTCAAACATAAGTACAAATAGTATAATGCATAGTGGGCAGCGTTTCATTCTATTAAACATAAGGTCACCACGTGTCAAAGCTGACTACAACACCTAACAACAACAGGCTATTCTTTGTATGTATTCAGAATGCCTTTCCTTCATGTTTTGATTAGACCTTTCTCTGTCCATTATCTTGCTTTTCTTTGGTATCTTAAGCTTCTCCATCTCCAGTGGGTCTTCCTCATCAACTTTGGACATGGTCTTATATCTCACATCTTAAAAATAAAATAATTTCTCCATTCCATTTCTCCACTTTTTTCCATATAGTATTCTAACTTTGCACTTTGCTCACATTCACTCTTATACCCCTTAAAAGAAAGGATTTTTTTTTCAACCTGCTTACTTTCCATTTATTCAACCCACTCCAGTCTACACCTCACCTAAAATGGACCTTTCCCAAGTTATTGATTTCCTACGTATGGACAAATCCATTGACTTCCTCTCACCTCTCATATTGAACTCTTAATCAACTTTTAATGATATTGACTCTATCTTCCTGTTCCTTCTTTTTCCTATTCTTTCCTTGCATTTCTCTACTTTCTGTGATATTATAGTCTCTTGTTTTCCCTGCTTCTCTGAGTACTTTTTGGAAGTCATATTTGTAGTCTCTTTTTCTTACATTTGACTGTTCAGCGGTCAGAGAATTGGCACTCAGCTTCCTTTTCCTTGGGCCTTCTTCATTTTCCTGTCTACTAATTTCCTAGGTAATCTCATTCACTCCCTTGATTTCCAGCTCTCAATAAGGCAGCAATTTTCCAGTTTGTATGCTCAGAGCAAAAGATAAAATCTTAGTTGTAGACTCATGTCCTACTCTCTTTTCAATTTTAAATCTTATAAAATCTGAAGTAATGATTGCCACTGATACCTCAAAAGAAAACAAGAAAAATCTCTGCTCTCCCTTCTGCAATGCCCTTTTTGGTATATAAAATTCAATCCAACTATTCATGCTAGAAATCTAAGTGTCATTCTTGATACCTTTTTATTCTTGTATCCCTCTTCCTGCTGGCCAGCCAATCAGTCAACTCCTGTTGATGTTCCCTTAGGAATATATGTGTAAGTGTATGTGTGTAATTTAATCTTTTTGTGGACATTTTTACCCTTAACACTGTGATAGACAGTTCTCTTAATTCTGGATGGATTCTGCAATAATCTTACAATAGTTTGCTACTCTACATAAAGGCCATAGGATGTTTCAAAGACATAAATCTGATCCTATCATTCCTAGGATTTAACTGTTTGAAAGGTTTTCCATTGTACTAAGAATACAGTGGAAAAAGAAAATTCCTTAACAGGGACCATAGGACCTTGTAGATCTTGACTCTTTGCTTAACTCTACACTGTTAACCTCACCTTCTTCCTCTAGTTATATTGTCCTTCCTTACTTCCTCATAATGCCAAGTTCTGTGCAAAACCCCAAAAAACCAAACTCATGCCATTGAGTGCGTTCCCGACTCATAGCCACCCCTTCTTGGCTTTCCGAGGCAGTATCACTATGGAAGTAGATTGCCCAGTTTTCCTTCCAAGGAGTGGCTGGTGGGTTTAAACCGCCAGCCTTCTAGGTAGCAGTCAGATGCCTTAGGCACTACGGCACCAGAGCTCCCCAGAGCTTTTCTGCATTCTATTTCTTGTCCAAGAATACTCCATAGCCTTTCCCTTTCTCCCTCACTAAACACTCTGGCCTGTCTAACTCTTACTCACTGTATAAATCTCAGTTTAAATACCACTTTGCCAAGGACCTCTTCCCTGCTCTACCTTCTAGCCCCCAAGACTAGGTTAAGTCTCTTTTTATACTCTCTCATAGCACTCTGACCTATCACACCTTTCATAGCACTATAATAATAAACAAATATTTACACATAAATGCATGTATAATTACTATGTATAAATGGCTTCCTTTCGAATGAGGCTGAGAGTTCCCTCAACTTAGGGGCACTCTATTGTTTACTGTAGTACATATTTTCTGTTTTACACAGTGTCTTGGCCTTAGAAGGTGCTTGTTGAAAGAATGAATATATATATGAATACATATGCATGTGTATAATTACACACAGACATCTGTGGAATTAATGTCTATGGCTCAGTGTGAAGGTACATGTGTGCATGTATAAACCAATAGGAAAACTATACTAACTCACTCCTCTATGTAACTTAAATCAGTGGTACAAATTTTCAGGTTGAAGATATGATTCGCATTAATATTTTTTAGTAGCAAAAAGGCTATATAGAGAAACGTTGATTTCCCCTCCTTCTCTAGGTAAAAAATTTGAAAATACGGAAATGTTTGGCCAGTACCCACTTCAAGTCAATGGATTCAAAGATCTCCATGAGTGCCTAGAAGCTGCTATGATTGAAGGAGAAATTGAGTCTTTACATTCAGAAAATTCAGGAAAATCAGGGCAAGAGGTGAGTTTAGCAGCTTAAATCGTTTGTGCCCCATCAGGATCTTTCTCAAAGTAATGTAAAGTACCATTTAAGATTGTAGTTACACAGCAACTTAATAATTGAGAGAATGCTCAGAGAAATATGTTTGGATTTCATTAGGGTAGTTTAAACATATTCAGGAGGAGTCGGTGGGTGGGGCAAATGGTTAATCAATTTATGTTAGCTGAAAGATTGGCAGTTCGAACTCTGTATTCTATGTTAAATTCTTATTTGAATAATTTACTTCAAACGTACTTTCAAAAACATTTCTAAAGACTTTCCAATGAAAGTACCAGCCAATATTTAATAAATGAAAACAACAAACTCTCTGCCATCAAATCGATTCCAACTCACAGTAACCCCTTTTGGGTTGTCCAGATGGTAAATCTTTAGGGAAGTAGATTGCCCCATCTTCCTTCCATAGAGAGGCTGGTGGATTTGAATCACCAGCCTTCTGGTTAGCAGTCAAATGTCTTAGACACTATACCCCTAAAACTACTAATATTTAATAAGACACTTTATAAATATTATTGTTGTTGTTATGTGCTGTCGAGTGGGACCTGACTCATAGTGACCCCTCCTTGGGTTTCCCAGGCAGTATCACTACGAAAGTATATTGCCCAACCTTCCTTCTGAGGAGTGCTGGTGGGTTTGAACTGCCAGCCTTCTTTCTGGTTAGCAGTCAAGCTAATATTACCTCTGTTTATCTAAACAAAGGAGCTCTGGTAGCATAGTGCCTAAGGCACTTGACT